AGTGGTAGTGGTAGTGGTAGTGGTAGTGGTAGTGGTAGTGGTAGTGGTAGTGGTAGTGGTAGTGGTAGTGGTAGTGGTAGTGGTAGTGGTAGTGGTAGTGGTAGTGGTAGTGGTAGTAGTAGTCGTCGTCGTAGTCGTAGTAGTAGTAGTAGTAGTAGTTGTTGTTGTTGTTGTTGTAGTGGTGGTAGTAGTAGTAGTAGTAGTAAAAGCAGTAGTAGTAGTAGTAGTAGTAGTAGTAGTAGGAGTGGTAGTAGTAGTGGTGGTGGTGGTGGTAGTAGTAGTGGTAGTAGTAGTAGTAGTACTCGTAGTGGTAGAAGCAATAGTGCCAGTTCCGCTTGGAGTGCTTGCAGCGGCACTAGTCGTGCTCGGTGGAACCGGCTCGGTGACTCTCGGAGTTCCCACCGGACCAAGTATCGAAAGCCTCGCCGCAGACCCAACACGACGACCGTCACCCCCCCGAAACCAAAAGTAAAAACATCTCTGAAGTCGTCCCGTCCTTCGGCGCGTCGACGAAACACGTAAAGCTTGGTGCGTGGCACCCAACCAAAAGCAACTCGGGTTTCCCGTCACAGTACTCCATCCAAAGGTGTGCGTCCCAGCATGTTGGGTCCCCCAGGCAGGGGTAGCTGCTGGCGCTGCTGGTGCTGCAAACCGAACCGAACCGACAACCGAGCCGGAAAAAAAGGGAAAGCAATACTTGAATCACAAATCGAACCGATTGCATGGAATTGCAAATGAACCGAAAAGATTGAAATCGATGTATCGAACCGATACAAACTGATGCAACGCCAAACCGAACCGAAACCGGCCCGTTTCGACCATGATAATGAAGGACAAAGAAAGCCAATAATATGATGGTCCGATGGTGCAATTTCTTTCATTCTGTACTCATAAATTTTGATATGAATAAATAGGACAGAAAAACCATAGATGTTCTCATGTTGATCTTACATTATTTGTCCATATGGTCCATATCATTTTAGATTTGGTTTATTGGAACTCTTATCGTTCACCTTTTGTTTTTTCATGTTCGTTCTGTCTACAGTATATATTGGGGGCCCATAGCCATTTTTAACCGTAGGACCCACAGGTCCTGGAGCCTCTCTCTCTCTACACTGCACTTTTTTGTTCATAAGAGCATGGAAAATGCCGGCCGGCTGAAATGACGGCTGCAGCTACCCGAATGGATCCCTGCATTGGGAAAATCAACTATATGGACTGCCAGGGTGTCGACCTACCACGTGATTTGGAGGTGTTTAGTTTTCACAGAAGCTGAAGAGAATTGAGCACAAGATTCATGGAACTGGTCTCATCTGACCTGAGGTCCTGCTGAGTACCTTTGTTCACCAAGTCTGAATTCTGCTATGGATTGATATGCATGGAAATGCTGAAAGTTGGGTGTATCTTGAAATCAACGACCCCATTTGATCAGCGACGTCATTTCAACCCAGTGGTTAAAGGAGGCGAACATGCACTTTCAAGAGATTTACCGAAGGTACTTTGCGATGCTCTGATTTCGCAGTTCCGGTTTGAAGCAACATGAAGCAACTCCTCTTCCTCACCCCAGATGCCACCGAAAAAGATCCTGTTAGACACCGGATCTCACGCCCAAGACCCTCGTGCGGCGTGAGATAGGCGGGAGCCTCACGCGAGGTGCACGCGGCGGCTTCTGCCGGTCCGTTCCTGCCTTCCAAGCGGAGCGGCCAGGTCGTCCTCGGAGAGGCTCTCGTTCTCCATGGAGGCGGCCAGGTGCGTCGGTGGTCTGTGGGGGGCGGGGGACACCTTGCATCAGATCCAGCCATTCACCTCCAAAGATCCCGGTGAAAAGGTGCAGGTGTTGCAACACACATGGGTCATCACACTAGGAAACCCTGACGCCTTTGCCTGCAGCTCCCCCTGAACCTCGCAGCTTGCTCGAGCCGGGAAGCTGATCGAAGACGTGCACCAGCCCACGATGCGCCGCACGAGCTGTCGGTTGCTTCATAGACCCTTCAACTTGGGTCTATCCTATCACCAGGGCCCAGTGGATGATGATGGTGTGGTGAGCAATCGCCTTTCTCGAAAATAGTGAGCGGTACTTCTTGACTGACTCTTACAGGTATTAGGACAAACCCTCCTCCTTTTCGGTTCTGGCTGCGGGGGGTCTCCATATGTCAAGATCCCCAAACAGTCCCCAAACGGTCCTCGCCAGATCCGCGTTTGTTCCACACGGGAGTCCGGCGAGGCCCCTCTTCCACGGTGCGTACGGTGGGTGTGGCGCGGTCGAGTCACCGTCGAGACGGTCTCACCGGAGACCGAGACCGCTGTTCACCCAATGTTGGGTGTTTTTCCTTCATGAACGGTAAGGGAATTCCTTCGCGTCTTTTTGGTCTTTTCTGGTGCCAAAAAGAGAAAACACCAGATACCGCAGATGGTGGCAAGGGTGTTTTGGATACATAGCAGGGAATTGTCTGCAGGCTGTTTCAGTTTTCTTCATTCCATTGGTGTCTACTTGGTTTGGATACGGATGACACTGCACATGACCATGAAAACCAGAGAAGTGCACGAAAGACCACGGCCACTTGTGAACTGTGCCACAGCCACTTAGCGCATAAATACGGTCACCACGTGCCGCTGCGGTCGTAGCGCTTTCGCCGCATAGATGGACGAAACGTTCGAGTCACTGGCAACCCGAGCTCCTCAACCCTGGAGCACTGTTGTCGATGTTCGTGGTCGAAGGACCAAAACCAGGAAATCCAAAAACCATCAATCAAAATGAGAGACTGGGATGCCCAAAATGAGTACATCAGTACATCGAACCCGAACCCTTGGGGGGGGCGGTGAATTACATGTCCCTGAAATCATCATGGTTACGTGGACTGGACAGCCCCTGGGAAGACCTTGGTTTTTCACACTTCCATGATTAATTTTTCAAGGAGAGTAATCAGTTTCACCGAAAACAAATGAACATGTTCTCCATCTGCCCACGGTTTCTGGAACCTCGTTGCACCGCTCCGCACATGCCATGCACCCCAGAAGCCTGTATAAGCAAGGTGTGGGGGTTGGGTGTTTGCATCGGGATAGACATCTGGGAGTTTGTGAAGGAGGTCGTTCAGTTCTTCCAAAACAAGCACTCGAAGGTTCGCACATCTATGGATGCATGGTATCACCCGATTCCCACATATGGATGCTCAGCATCTGTCAATGGTTGTGTTGAATTACCGGTTTTATTCGGCCACTAGTGCCACGTTGACCATTTTGTCAGACCCTACATGTGTTTCCCTTTTTGGAGGTCCGCCATTACACTTAACAATCTCAACACTTAGCTGTACAGCCAAACATCTCAACGGGCGCTTTTTTCGCACGGCCGCGTGAAAACGGACGCAGTGTGGCGCGTTTGGTCCCGTACGTCCTGCTCCGCCGTGTGCAGAACATTTCACCGCTTCCAAACCATTGGCTTCTGCAAAGGCCTTCACCTCCTCCTAGCTGGTGGAGACATGGGTTTGGGATGCTCCAAAGCGTGCGGGCATATGTTTGCCAGGGGCAAAACCTGGGAATTTGCTTGACAGAAAATGAAGAAAATGAACTGCTGACATGTCAACCTACTATGGTGCATCGGATGTTCTTCCCAACACGTGACGAACGATTCATGAGGTTTTTCGGGCGATTGCAGGTCTGGAGCTTCTGGCATTCGTCGTACCACTCCTACGGTGCATTCGTACCACTCCTATGGTGCGAGAGCACGAGAGCACCTGCAACAGAAACCAACATATGGACCAGCAGTCACAGAGCTCGGGGTGGTGTTTGGTCCCATCCAGTGAGTGGATGTTCTGGGCACCCCTAACCTCCAATAAGCACCCCGACATGTGACTCCTGGCATATGGATACATGTGCAGGCCTGGACACACCTTGGAATATATGGACACACCATGAGAGAAGTTCCCAATCTTAGGTGACCGTTCTGTTTCAGGTCATGCGGCATCTTTGGAAGGGGAACTGCAAGAAATCCGCTGCCAAGACTAGGAAAAGGATGGAAAATGCAGGAACATGAGTTGGGTGAAAACGTTGTGGCGCGGCTGCAGTAGAACGGGAGCTCATCTGGACCAACTGTGGCGGGTTGGACCAAGAATTTTACCCGGGTTAGTATGGCCCAAAGTGGCCAACACAGGATGTCTTCAACTGTAAGCTGCACCATTTTGACCCAAACCATCCCAAACCCCGAATGAATCAAAAATGGATGCCTTGTTCTCCCACAAAATGCTGATCTTGTTGTGAGCTCTTCTAACATGAATCTTCGGTTAGAGCCGGATTCGGAAACTAATCGGTCGGATTCTGAAACTAGGGTTCTGAAACTGGGGTTCTGAAACTAGGGTTCAGCAACTTGGATTCTGAAACTGGTATTCTGAAACTGGGGTTCTGAAACTAGGATTCTGAAACTGGGATTCTGAAACTTCTATTCTGAAACTGGAAAGTCAGATTCTGCAACTTGCCTTCTGAAACTTGCAACTGGTGATCTCCACATCATGCAATAGCGTATGTGCCTGTGACATCGCCTTCGCAGCACATCCAAACCAACGTCATTAGCCCCCCACCCAACCCCCCCACCCCCCAACCCCCCCTTGTCCCCATCGTATGATCTCGACATCACGCCAACCCACTCATCATTCACAAAGTTGCGGAATCCTAGTTGCAGAACGCCAGTTGCGGAATCCCAGTTGCAGAATCCTAGTTGCGGAATCTTGACAGTTGCGGAATCCTAGTTTCGGAATCCTAGTTGCGGAATCCTAGTTGCGGAATTCTAGTTGCGGAATCCCAGTTGCGGAATCCGACCAAGCAGTTGCGGAATCCTAGTTGCGGAATTCTAGTTGCGGAATCCCAGTTGCGGAATCCGACCAAGCAGTTGCGGAATCCTAGTTGCGGAATCCTAGTTGCGGAATCCTGCCCAGTTGCGGAACTCGACTTTATCCATGAATCTTCTGACCGGGTTGACATGACTCGACCTCCCACCCACCGGCACCGATGCGCCCGCGACCCACTCGGTCGGTCTTCCCCCACCTGGGTGACCGCCGATGCGCCCAGATCGGTCTTCGTGGCACAGAGCACCGCCGCCAACTCCCCCACGGCACTCACCGAGCTGCACGAGATCCTGGTCACCGGATCCGATCCCGTGGAGGACAAAGGATTAGAAAGAGTGATCCAAATGGGGATGTATGAAGTGGCAAAAGCCACACTGTGTGACTGTGTGTGTGTGTGTGTGTCTTCATCTTGTGATTCTTCTTCTTCTTCTTCTTCTTCTTCTTCTTCTTCTTCTTCTTCTT